CCGCCCCTGGCCGCCTCCTTCTCGCCCGCCGACCTCCAGAGGCGCCTGACGGCCGGCGACTGCTGGGTCCGCCGCGGGACCCGCCTCTATGACCTGAGTGACTTCGTGCGACACCACCCGGGGGGCGAGCAGCTGCTGCGGATGCGGGCTGGGCAGGACATTAGCGCCGACCTGGACGGGCCTCCGCACCGACACTCGGCCAACGCGCGCCGCTGGCTGGAGCAGTACTATGTGGGCGAGCTGCGACGGGACCCACAGGTAGACCAGGGCTAGCGACCCTCCGCACGCACCGCCACCCCTCCCCCCTCAACCCCTGCCCCCGTGAACCCCGTTCACCAGTTTTCCAGAAGGGACCCCAGGTGCCACCCTCCTCCCCACATCCCCCTCCTCTCTCTCCAGGTAACAGGTCACTCACCGCCCCTGTCGCTGTCTCCTGCTGCAGTCTGCGACCCTCCTCCATCCTCTAATTTGCCCCCATCACCTATTAGCTAGTTCCCTTCCCCGCCTGCACTCTCTGCCATCGGACAACCTGGTGTTGTTTCTTGCCACAGCCCCTCACACGCCCTCTGCCCTGAGCTACTGCTCCTCAGCAACTGCTCCTCACTGCCATTCAGAAGAGGGGTCCCAAGGTTCAGGTGTCTTCCTTCCCACTCCACTTCAAGAAGCCTGGTTGGTTGGGCAGCTCCCTGCAGTTCGCCTAGATTTCTCAGGATGTCCTTCACCTTGCACTCAGGCTCAGCTGGGTGTGTACCCCGGACCTCCTAGGCTCCTCCATCTCTGGTCCTAAACGGCTGGTCTGGGGTTCTTGGAGGGGGCAAGGGGGCAGTAGGTTGGGGTGGGGGGTGGAGTTCTCAACCTCTTTGAGCTCAGACTGCATGCTGCCTTGTACCTGTTCATTGGTACGGGAGCCAGCAAAGACCCTGGGGTAGATACAAGTGGGGTCTGTTTTTGTTTTTTAATATATATACAAGTGTTTTTATTCCCATTTTAGATTGTGGAAACTGAGGCTCAAAGAGGCTGGGTAATTTTCCCAAGATCAGACAGCTAGCTAAGGGGAAACGGAAACCTAGCTAGCTCCCAAATGGATCCTGTCTCTACCTCAAGGACTTTCAGGCAGAAGAGCTAGACCCCCATCCCCATTCCCAAGACTCCTGGTAGACATGGTCCACTGGCAGACAGACTTCCAGATCTGGCTGTAGGACTTGAGACAGTGGGGCCACTGTCTTTGGATATGAATCAACTATTGGTTGAATCTGGCTCTCGAGATGGACTTAGCAAGTGTTGTCAAGTCTCTGGTGAAAGTCTCTACCTCTCTCTGCGCCAGGTGGCTCCCCGTGAGCTTGCCTAAATCTGGAATCATTCATTTGCTCGCTTAGTCATTTAGTGTGTGTGTGGGGTGGGGGTGGGGGACTGTGCCAGGCACTACTGGCTAAGGGGAGGGAAGGGGAGGTGTTAATTGCACGGTGCTGTCAGAATATGGCTCAGGGCTACCGTCCCCAGATTGGACAGGAAGTGTTTAAGGAGAGAACTTTCTTGGAAAAGGAGCAATTATGCCTAGAACTAAATGTTGGATAGGACTTGGGGGAGGGGGAGGGTCGACATTCCAGAAGAGGGAGGGAACAGCATGTGTGAAGACTCTGAAGGGAAAGAACTTGGCACAGTGAATTCACAGTCAGACTGGTGTGACTGAGTCTGGTGGGCGAGGAGGGAGGAGGGTGTTCGACAGGAGTCCATACCCTAACCATGCGGGGCCACCAAGGCTGAGGTTTGGGACTGGATTTGAAGAGGAAGCCAGGGATGGGATTTAAGCAAGGGTGTGGCCTGCTCATATTTGCATCTCTGGAAGAGGGCTCTGGCCACCCTGTAGAAAGAGTACAGGCCGAGGCAAAAGTAGATGTCAGGAGGCCAAGGCCCACCGCCAGGGCCCACCGCCCGGTCCAGGCAAGAGGTCACAGCAGCTTGTGCATGAAAACCGTCACCAAGGAGTAAGAACTCCCAGCTAGAATGCCAGGACTTGCCATTCTGCAGGACTGCCAGGACTACACGAGCCCAGTGTAACCTTGGAAATTGATATTTGGGGTCCACTCTGGCAGAAGGGATAGAAAGGCTCCGCCGTGATTTGAGACTGCCTGCCTCGCTCCAGGGCCTATCCTGAACTGTGTGTTCTATGACCCAGAGTCTTAGGGTGTGGTCTATCCGCCCAGCACTCCTGGTCAGAGGCTCTGGTTGGCCCCACCTTCCAGTTTAGCAACTACCCAGTACCAAGGCTTGGTTTGGTTTGCTTGGCTCAGCTTTGCCTTCTGTGCCCCATGAAAGGATTCCAAGAGAATACTGAGCCCACATTTGCTTCCTACCCCTGCGCTTACCTATTACCCCTGAGGTTCCGGTGTGGCCATAGTGTGGTGCCATTATGAGGGCTGTCAAGTTAGCGCCAACTCATAATGATCCTGTTACAGCAGAGCGGAACACTGCCTGATCCTGCGCCTTCCTCACAATGGTAGTTCACTTTGAGCCCATGGTGGCAGCCACTGTCACAACCCATCTCGCTGAGCGTCTTCCTCTTTTTTGCTGACCTGCTACCAGCCATGATGTCCTTTTCCAGGGACTGATAACTTGTCCAAAGCAAATGAGACTAAGTCTGACTGACCATCCTTGCTTCATAGGACCATTCTGACTGTACTGCCCCCAAGGCAGGTTTGTTTGTTGTTCTCCTTACTCCTGGGCCCCCCAGCCTCAGGCCATGGGAAGAGTCAAACATGAAGACTGCACCTGAGAGCCCACCACCCAGCACGTTCAGTTGTTTATCGGCATCTGTCAGCAACTTTCTCCTCCAGGATCCTACCTAGGGCTGTCTTTAAATTGGAGGAGGGGAGAACTATGGGATAGGGTTATCCTTTTAGAGGGATACCCTTTCTTAAAACTTGAATGTGGACACGACATTTCTGCTCGTCTCTAGCTAAACCTTTCTAGCACCCGCCAAACTGCCCTTCACCTTCCTTTCCCCTCCTGGGGGACCAGTACTGCTGATACCTGTGGAGCCTGGAGCCTGGCTCCTGCAGTGTGAGGAGCAGGTGGGTGGGGTGGGGCACTGATGGGGCAGGGGAGTACCATTCACTGGCTTTGCTGTTTGGCCTCAAATTTTCATGGCTTCCCAGCCAGGGGCACACCTTTCCTAGCTTAGTCCTTGGACATCTGGGTTATGGAGCCAGGCTGTGACGTTCCATGAGGTTTGACCTCGTGTGTTTCCCCTCTTCCCCACTTGGACACACCCCACCCATAAGCACACTGACACACACATTCACACTCACAAGGCACACACACGAAACGAGTCAAACTTGTTTGAGGATAAGGTCTGCCAAGGCTTTGGACTCGGGGAAGCCAACAAGGGCAGCTCACCACCACCCCTGTCCTCGAGGGTCAGTGGAGGCCAGCTCTTCGCCCCATGCTCCTGGAAGGACAGGAGAGGCACAGGGAGTGTGGAGCCCACTTACTGAGTTATAAACTGTATTTTTTTCAAAAGAAAAGAATTTGGGATGTAAAGGTCAGAGAGTGTCTTACAGACTGTGGTCATCCCAGAATCACTGGCACAGGGTGGTGGTGGGTGCATGCTCCCCTTGAACTACTACTCTAAGGAGACCCCATGGTGCAGTCGGTTAAGTGTTGGACTGCTAACCGCCAGGTTGGAGGTTCAAAGCCACCAGCTGCTCTGCAGGAGGAGGATGCCGCTGTCCGGTCTGCTCTGTCAGAATGTTGTCCAGCCTTGGAGACTGCAGGGAGCAATTCCACTCTGTCCCCATTACAGGGCCACTCTGGGCAGAATCGGCTCCACAGCAGTGAGTTTGGCTGTTTGCTTTGAACCATGCTAGTGAACATGTATCTTTAGATCGGTTCCTTCTTTACTTTATCCTCTGCTCACCCTCAGCAATATTGCCAGTGAGATCACCAGTTCTACTCCCGGATGAAGCTGGGTGGGCCTGCTGGCTGCCACTCAGGCGGCCTGTGTACAGGGGAGGCACATGCCGCCCTTGCCGTCCTGCCATCGTCACAGTTGCTGGGAGCTTGGGCCCGTGGTTGCCGACACTGCGTGTTTGAGGTGCCTCCCAACCTGCGGCCCTCCCCCTCCAGCACAGTCCCAGCCTCTGATCCTCCGTTGTGGTTTGGAGGCTTCCATTGGCTAGTTGTTGGCAGGCGCTCTTCCAGGTCTTTCTTCCTTCTTCCCCGGTTTTTTGTCGTTTTTTTAAAATCATTTTATTAGGGGCACATACAACTCTTATCACAATCCATACACACATCAATTGTGAAAAGCACATTTGTACATTCATTGCCCCCATCTTCTCTGTTTTTTTTAAGTTGTATTGGCACTTCAACCAGTTGTGCAATCATCACCACAGCCTGTTGTAGAACATGTTCTTCCTTGTACTCATCGCTGTTTATGGAGTGATTTTTTTTAAATTGTGCCCAAAATATACACAGCAAAACATTCTCAAAATCAACACTGTATCATTTGGTGCCATTGATTAGACTCTTGGTGTTGTGCAGCCATTATTGGTATCTTTGCCTAAATTATTCCACCACCATTAACATAAATGCAGTGTCCCCGAGGCAAAAACTCTTTGTCCTTCACCCAGGGTCAACTTTGGCTCTTTCCTTCTTTCATTTTGAGTAACTTTCTGGATATAAAATCCACATATCACACACTTCCATAGTGAAGTTGCTGTAAAAAGAGTTGTATATACATCATCACAGCCAGTTCTACTGCTCCCTCCCCCTTCCCCACATTCATCGTTTGCTCCTTGATTTTCCTCCCCCTCGCCTCCCGCCCTCGGACCCCCCTCACTCCATCCCCGATAAACCGCTGCATCAGTGATTGTCTCTCTTCTTCCACTCCTGTGCTTCATCAACTGGGAAACCTAATAAACAATAAAAAAGAAAATGAAACAAAGGAAAAAATAAAGAATAAGAAAGGAAAGACCACTTATAATATTTAAAAAGCCGGAGGAGAAATCTCTGTCATGGAACAAGTGAGAAATATTTAAGCCTAGAACAAATTCAGCTTGGGTCAATAGGGAGGTTAACTGACCAAGTATCACATTGTACCATTGTTTGATCTACCATAATGGAGTTTGCAATAATCTCTGTCTGATAATAGAGCTGTTGAGTCCCTCACCTGTGACAAGAGGGGATCTGCCAGAGGCCTGATCTGATTAGTCTGCAGATGGATTTTGGGCTCCCAACTGGCCTCCGTAGCCTTCTGCAAA